CCTGCACAACCCCCCCCCCCCCAACAGGGACTTTCCTGAACAAAGTGACAACAAGCGAAAGTGTTTGGTGGCAGTGATTAAAGTTTTGTGGAAATTGCAGTGGGGCCTTTGAGACCATTGTGAATTTGTAAATTGATTATTTTAAATTAATTAACATATATATACACACAAAGTCTATACTGTATATCAGAATCTCTACACATATGTACTCTCTATATAAAGCCAAATTATTTAAAATGTGCAATCTTATTTTTACTCATAAAGAATATAGAAGAATTGAATAAAATGCTGATTCTACTTTTAATCTATTTATTATCCTACAAACCTTTATTTCCTTAATTTAATGCTATTATTGAGTTACCCTTTAAGATTCAATTAAATTCAGAGATTAGTTTCAGGTTTTAATTTTGTTTCAGAAATTTTAAACCCACGGGGCGCCTGGGTGGCTCAGTCGGTTAAGCCTCCCACTTCAGCCTCAGGTGATGATCACAAGGTTTGTGGGTTTGAGCCCCGCATCGGGATCTGTGCTGACAGGTCAGAGCCTGGAACCTGCTTCAGACTCTGTGTCTCCCTTTCTTTCTGCCCTCCTCTACTCATGCTCCGTCTCTCTCTCAAAAATAAATAAACATTAAAAAATATATAAAATAAATAAAGAATTAAAAAATTTTTAAAAAAGAAATTTTAAACCAAAAATTCAAGAAATAAATGGGAGCAACAGACTGGTCAGCATAGAGATAGATAGAATTGTTTAGACAGAACTGTTCAAAAGATTTAAAGCTGAGTTCAATTTCTCAAAATACAGGCAACCTATTTTGTTTTACCACACTTCTCCAAAATATTTGTAATCCATTAAACAACTGAGGCTAATAGTGTTGACTTTTTTTTTTTTTTAGCTATTTTATTCCATCCACGGGCATTGTAGTTTGTCCAATAAATAGAATTAATGAAGATATTCAACAGCAGGATAACTCTTGCTTTCACTGAGTTTTCTTTTAATTCTCTCGGCAGGTATTATTTGGTAATTAATCTGATGTAGATATAGAGGCTTATCATACTCGGCCTGAAAAAAATCGTGTGTTCAAAACCTGTGTGTTCAGTGATGCCATATTAGTTTAGAGAACTCTACTGGACACTCTTCATGTCTGCTCTCTAACTCCGCCCCTGTTGGGTTTTGTTTTTGTTTTGTTTTTTCCCAACAAGATGTCACAAGACATCTCAAATACCATGAAGTATGTTTTTTAATACTTTTCCTGATTCTTCAACACCTGTGCAGACTGGCCTCTAAGCATTCCACTACAACCAGAGCTGTCCTGGTCCCTGAGTGGTCAGGAATGGGCACGTGACTCTCTACTTGGGCCAATCAGAGGCAACCCAGCGACCCCACAGAAAGGGATTGCCTCTGGGAAAGTGCGACCCTGAGATTCCACAGTGTGTGCAGACTTGAGAGCCCTCTGAGGAGGCCCCCGGGGGAAGGCAGGGGGTGGCCTAATGTCTTCCCTTGGGTTGTGGAGCCTGAGGATAAAGCCAGCACCCAGGCGGGGAGAGGACAGGAGAGATGAGAAAACAAGGCATCAGTTCCCTGATTACATCTGATCTAACCCGCCCACCTGAAGTTGTCCCAACTTATTTAGTTATATTGTCAGTAAACCTTCCCTTTTACTTAATCCAGTTTGGGCTCTTTTTTTTTTTTTTTTTAACTTGGCAATAAAAAAAACATTGAATGATATGCGTAAAATGTAATGCGAATGAAAAGGTGGCACAAGAGAGGGCTTGCACATTTCGTCACAAATCATGGAGTACACAACGGTATTATTTCTAGTACTCTAAATAATTAGGTTGAAATAGCCCTACGATGAAAAAGTGCAAATAAAATGATCATTTCTCTTTCATTTACAAGTGAACTGATAAAAGAGAAAAACAGCTCTTAGTTTAGGTGTTCACTAGAAATTCTGTTTAAGATGAGATGTTTACTGGATGAAAAAAACTAGCATGCTCATAATTCAGTTGACTTTCTTCTGATGTCACTTGTGATCTTTGGAATGGATTCGCAATTTTTGGATTTGCAACTATGAATCGATCACTCTTCTTTCTGTGATTTTATTTTTTAAAAAATTTTTAGTGCTTATTTTTGAGAGACAGAGAGAGACCGAGCACAAGTGGGGAAGGGACAGAGAAAGAGAGAGGGAGAACAGAATGGGAAGCAGGCTCCAGGCTCTGAGCTGGAGGCGCTGAGCACAGAGCCCTACGAGGGGCTCGAACTCACGAACTGCGAGATCCTGACCTGAGCCGAAGTCGGCTCATAACTAACTGAGCCACCCAGGTGCCCCTTATTTCCGTGATTTTAAAAGAAGGAACACAGGCACAGAGTGTTAATGAATCCAAATGTTGACATCAAGAGAAAAGCTTTGGAGGGAAGCAAACTTTGACAAGCATCTATTGAATAAGGCGCACAGCGGGATTTTAGGGATCAGGTAGCCCCCAGTGTTAAGAAATAGCCTCATGGGAGGCAGAAACGTTAAGGCAACTTCCACAGAATGGAGCTATTATCACGGAGGGCCCACCAGCCAGCAGGTGACGGGGTAGAGACAGCTCACGCATAAACTGGGTTCAAAACGATGGGGCAGAGTCAGCCGGACAGAAAAGCAGGGTGAGCACAGGGACGTGAGGGAACAGCACCGACAGAGACACAGAGGGAAGGAGAGCCGGGGGGACCAGGGGCCTGCACGGGCTTCCCCTGCTGATGCTTCAGTACGTGGCTGAGTCGTGCAGGAAGGTGGAAAGTCGGGCCAACAAATAATGGGCCTCGTGTGCCACCAGAGTCACCGCTGGGGGCTAACAGGTTCTCCTAAGGGGGCACCCTGACGGGGCTTGGATTAGATCGATCACTCAGGGAGCTCCGTCCTGCAGCCTGGGAGAAGCTCCCCAGGGCCGGGCAGACACAGCGGGTGGGAGAGCCTGAGCTGAGAACTAGGTGGGACACCGAATCTTCAAAACGGGCCACTAATTAGACGTGGAGAAGGAGAGAAAAGGAGAAATACCAAGGAGTTCCCGAGGCCTCCTGGGTCAGCTGGGGGTTGGCTACCAAGAGTCACATTTTGTCTAAAGGAACTTTGCACCCAGGTGGGCTGGAGGGAAATTCAGGAAACACCAGGCAAAACACAAGAGGCTAAATAAAGAAAGGGCACACCCAGGCCCCTGGGTGCTGTGACAGTGCAGGGCCACGGTGAGAAGCGTGGTTTCGGGTGCCCTGCGTTCCAACATCGTAAGCACGTGACTGTGGGCCAAGGTCCGAGACCCTTTGTGTCTCGGTGTCCTCATCTGTACAGCAGAAGTGACAGTCACATTACTTCATTAATTCTTGGAAGTGAAATGAGGCAACACACGTAAAGAGCTTGGAGCGGTGCGGGCTCTGGAACTAGGGATGATGGATGTTAACTATGGGTTCTTGGTTTATATTTTAGGGAACAATGTCAACACCCAAAAAACAAGAGGGCAGTGTACAGATAATGAATCTAAATAAAACAGGCTCACAGCAAATGGCATACTATAATCAACAGAGTCGACCAATCAGTAGACTTAACGTTACATGTGTGGGACAAAGCTTTGGTTTCACTGGGTTGGGAGTTTCTTCCAGATCTTAAACTATCTCATTCAGAAATTGTCAATTGGGGGAACACAGATTCTAGGCAACCTGGGAATTCCCAGGACCATCGGCAAAATACCGTATCTCTTTTTTTTGAGACAAAGTTCAGAAATGGCATCCAAATCTCAAATAAAAACCATAACCAAAAAGAGAGTGAAAACCACTATTTTAGGAGAAAGACAGACAATAGACATTTACAGATAGGTGCCCTGGTGAGAGAGAAAGATGGCTTGATTCGTGTTTACTTGTGTAATTTTTTTTTAAACGAAGTCCTGACTGTCAGAATATCATTAAAACACAAAAGGACCCTCTTACCAGTTGAATCAACAACATCCCTAAACCGTGCTGACAACTGAAGAGATTCTTTGCCATGGGAAAAAAGTGGGTCTTACTACAGTAACAACTAAGTAGTTGTATGGGTCCTGAAATCTCATCTCCACAAGGTTGCCACCCGCCTCTGTCACATGAACTAGTGGGACCAGGGCGGAACCATGGAGTCCCTGTGACGCAGAGGCTCACCGCTGCGCTGGGCTGGCATTAATCTCCAGATCAATGTCCTAACGCTGCGTCCTTAGGCAGTTTTCTGTAACTCGAGAGGACAGACTTTAAAGATGCTAAGCCACACGGCTGAGTGGCAGGTGCTAGGCATTACCTCTGGGGTGATGCGCAGACCCGAGACGGACAGGTGGTTCCATATCTAGCCCTCCCTGCGCTCACAGCTCCACTCCGCTCTCTGCCTTATGGGAGCTCAGTTCCCAGATTAGCAGTACATGTAACCCCACTGGGCCCGCATCCTAATCCCACCGTCTTGGAAAGTACCCAGTAAAGACCCCTGCTTCTCTCTGGAATGCCCTCTTGAATTCCTCAAAAACACACTAAGAAGGCTACTCTGGCATGGAAGTTTCCACAATGCCCACTTTGCAGGAGTATGCCACAATCAAATCAAAAGCGTTAAATGGCAAAGTTAACAAGGAAACCGGTATTTTAAACTGTCCCCATCATTACACCAGGAGATACTCACTGTTTTAAGCAACAGAAGTGTCACCAGTCGTGTTAACACAGCCTGGCGTCTCGCTTTTATTTTTCCTTTTGTTCCGGGTGATTTTTACTTCTGTGCATATTTTTTCCTTCACAAATATGCTTGGCACGTGCTTTAGATTTACCCTCATTCAGTCGTAAGAACGGAGGGCTGAAAGGGGCTGACTTCACAGACAAGGTAAGTGCAGCCCAGAGGGGCTCACGCCCAGGGTAGCAGGGTGCCCCCCCCCCCCGCCCTCGCCAAACTGGGCCCTGCGCCCTGACTGCACCGCGCCCTGTCCCCACTGGGTGAATGAAATGAAAGCGTGTGACCACCTACCCACACACCTTGGCAGAGGCGCGCTCCACACACGACGGCCCCCACCCAGGCACGTAAGCTTGGTTGCACCTTCTAAGCGATACCCCGGGAAGCAGGAAAAAGTCAGAGAGTCCCCGACTCCAAAGTGGAAACCAATTCTTCGGCTGAAGGCAGGGACGCCAGGGTCATCGCAAGGCTCTAGGTCGTATTCTGAGACACGGAGAGAGGAGATGGAGTAAATGTGTGGGAACTTGGGTAAACACTCAAAACTTACTTACCAAGAATTAAAAAAAAAAAAAAACAACGGCTACTATTTAAAAAACCTCACGCATTGTTTTCCAAACTGCTCTGTAGTGGTTACGTGGATTGGTCTTCCTTGTACCCTAAGCTGGTTCGTGATGAACCGCATGAATTCTAGTATTTTTTTAAATAGATGTGTAACATTAAGATAAGGTGAACATTTTACAGCTGTGACGTAAACCCTATGAAATAATTTTCTCGCTGAAGGTCAAGGATGCTTGGAGGATCAAGCCCACTCAATTAAGCATCAGTGAATGACACCTGGGACAGAGCAGACGCTGGGCAGCTGTGTGTAACCGCTGGTGCATCTGGAGCTCTCTCCCACACTGTCCCATTAGCATCTGCAGACACACTACTCTGACACGCATCGGGAAATGCCACTTTAGTAAAACCTTCTAAAAACGACAGAAGGAAACTAGGCCGGCAGGAGGAAAGGCAGATAGAAAACCAAACTGATTTTGTGCACACATCTGAAGAGCCCCCCAGAAGGGAAAACACTTCATTTGCATGATAAAGTTGTTACTTATCTGGACACTTAAAAAATAAACGCCATTGTATTAGTGTCACTGGCAACTGTTTGCAGCCAGGTTTCAAGGCGAAATTCTTGCAAATGAAATCACTCCTCAGCACACCTGAAGAACAAGCTTAGGGCAGCACTGGCTTTGCAATCCCAGGTGTTGTGTTGTGTTTTGTTTTGTTTCGTTTTCAAAACCGTCTGAGCCTGTGTGACACAGTCTAGGTTAGGTGACTCCTTCTGCAAGCTTTGCGAATCGTTTCCCATCGGTTGTGTGCAAGTGGATTGGTCCAGGTGTTCAAAAACCGCGACCACCTTAATTTTTAACATTTTAAAATATTTTAAAACTGTTGCAAAGCGCTGCCAAGACCCCGGAAAGTGTGTCTTGTTTCTCGCCTGCTTGTCTGTTTAGGGAGGTTGCGGAAGAAGACAATTAGCCCTAGAGCTGGCTTCTGACCTTTGCTAACCAAAAGGCTTAGTGTCAGCTCTGCGCTGGGAGTGACAGAATTAAGAAACAGATGTCATGGAAAGGGTGGGAACGACAGACTTCTGAGACATATCTAGGGGGGAGCCCCACAGAGGTGGGGCGCTGCCAGATTCTTCCTGTGGAATGTTCTAGTTGACTTCATGTTGGATCTCGATGGAGGTTGAGAACGACAGTGACATTCTCATGGTGCCTGAACTGAGACCCAGCAGGAAAGAAGGTACAGAGGAATTAGGCATTAGTGTTAGGAAAATTTAAGTCTTTGTTCCACAGAGCGGCCAACCTCATGATTACCCCTGATTATGGGCAAATTTCCAAGAAATCAAGTTGTCTGAGCTCGTCCCAAGAGCTCCACTAATGCAGTGAAATGCCAAGAAAAATCAACAAAGTCAGGTAAAGATAAATGGCACTGGTTATAATGATGGGGCGTATAAAATAGTTCAGAGCACCTTAAAATCCCTAAGAAATCTTTTTCTTTAAGATAGTTATTTCAATGCATATATCACTAAGGACCATGCGATATTGAGTGATTATTAACTTCCTACTGCGTAGAAGACACGGGAATACACCTGCTGCTGATGGAAAGGCGGAAGGTACAGAAACCCCTTTCCTAAGAGTTTTAGCCTTAGAACAGGAGATGAGATAAATACCCAAATACTGTGACGGCGAATCCCGTACGTGGCATCAGAAGTTGCTAAGGAACTTATGGGAGGTCCAAGGGGAAGAAATCACTCCTGACTACGGGACTCAGGAACTACCTAATGAAAACTGCATTAGCTCTGGGCTGGGCGGAGCGGAGTGGAGGAGCACTGTCCTTTCCAAAGCATCACACGCAGAAGTGCAAAAACACCCTTGTGTCCACCCATCAGGATCTTAGAGCAGGAGCGCCCTTGTGTGGGCTGAGGCTGTGTTAGTGCAGGGCCCTGACCATGGTCACTGAGCATCGCTTATGCGATTAAATGCATCTCATAAACGCTTGGCTAATTTTTAAGTGTGGGTACTTTTTCCGCGTCCACAAAAACACAGTAATACTATTGACAGCACCATTCACAGTAACAGTGTAACCCGGGCAAACAGCAGAAACCCTTCACATATCATGTAGGTGCCATCACTGAAAGTAAAAATGTCACATGACTTTGGAGCCTGGTTTTGTCTGTGTTCATAACTGCATCAAAGTAAATGAAAACTCATCGTCAGTGGCGTGTGTGTGTGTTTACGCTTCTTCTTTTTTATTGTTTTCACTCTAGGGGAGGTTTTTGAGCCAAGTATTGGCATCCGCTGGAAGGCAGGCACCAAAATAATCTGATGATGGCTTCTCCTGAGAATGTCTCCCAATGGGGACACTTTCCTTGAGATTTTGATAGAACTGATGAGAAGTGAGTGAGAAGGGCTTTTCAGGAGAACTTAGTGATATTAGCAATTTCTCAGGGATGAGAATTTGCAAAGTGCCATTTCGAGGATGCGGGGCAGCGGTCCTAGCGTCTTTCTTCAAGGAGGCTCGGCCCCCTTGGCTCACCAGCTAATGCTCACGACTGCTGGGACATTAACCTGTAATCACGCACGCACAGGCACACGCATACGCTCACACACACAGTGCTACTATTGCCAGAGAAGAGACACGTTAGAGGAGAACGACGTACCTGAGAACGTGATGTTGAAGCCCTCGTAGGAAATGGAAAAGTCTGAGATGAACCGAAGCTGGGCGGTGAAGTTTCCAAACAAACCCGCCTTAATAGTGTGAGGCAGTACAGAGCCAGTGAGTCTGGCCACGGGCTCGGTGAAACTCCCGTCCTCTGTGATCAGTAAATAGTCGTGGGAGCTTTCTAGGTGGAAGGTGTGGAAGATCATCTGAACTCCTGAGAAGCAGAAAAAGGGGGGGGGGGGGGGGAGGGAGAGATATCAGAGTTAACAGCTAAGGAAAAATCATTTCTTCTGGGCTTAGAGACATCAAACTCTTGAATCAAAAAACAAATCTTAATAAGCAAACTTTTAAGTTTCAAAGGAAAATACAGAGAATGGATAGAAAGAGTGGACTTAGAAATGAAGAGGGGATAAACGGTAGAAATAAATGCTTAAGGATATGGAAATATAGGCACAGGTGTAGATTAGACATGGGCTTATGGGTGTAGGCACAGACACAGGTACAGACAGACACAAACACAGACATAAACACACAGACAGACACAGATCTACAAGTACAACATGGCGGGCATTTACAGTAAACTGCATGTAGGAATGGTGACTAGCATTTATCCCAGAGGAGAGAAGGACCAGGTAACTTTTTCATTTACATTTAACAAATATCTTCTAGGAAACCTTAGGTTGGAGGTCTAGCCATATAAACGTAGGGCCGAGGGGAGAATTCATTGAAATTATAGATTTATGTGCCTTTTAGGCATCTGTTCTCACGTTAACCATACCGACAAAGGATCAGTGGATTCCTATAGGAAAACGAATAACATTAACTACAAACAGCTCCTTTTAAATAAAAATACTCGTTTTTATAGTGACAAACTCAGTCACTCACAATTTGTTTCTGCTTTATTCTTGATTTCCTTCAAGGAAATTCTGAACATGCATTCATGATACCTATGAGCATAGCGTAATATAGGGCACATAATCAAAAATGTCAATTTAGCAGCAACAGAGTCCAAATTAAGTGTAAGACAGTTTGTCTCCATGAGACTGATGTGATCAAAATTTCATATTATCTCCTTAAAAATGACAAGTGTTGTCATACAGAACACACCCAGGTACAGTCCTAAATCCAGTGTTTATGAACTACATTTCTCACACAAATTACAAATCTTCCTGGCTTTTAGTATGCTTATCTATAAAATGAGGATAATTAAATCTGCTCCAGAAATCATCACTGGATTGTGTGAAGATAAATGACTTAACGTATAATAATACTGAGTAAACTTAGAAAATAAGGCAAGTACAAAATTTATCCTAGATGTATCATGGAGATGAAGTGTGGATACTTTACTTCCTTTGACTTCATCGATATTTGTGTTTTCTCCGACGCACGCCTCTTTCCTTGCCAGCACACCTACTTTCCAAACACACGTTGACCTGTATCAATCTAAGTTACCTGATAGAAAGCAGTACAGGGAAGCTACTCCTACTGTAGCATCAATGATTCCAGACCACTCTTCTTCTAAAATCATACATAGCATCAAAATTACGGTTAAAATAATATGTGAAGAAATCATGTAGCTTACTTGTTCACACATGCATACCTTCTTCTAACCACTCTGTACATATAAAATCCATGTAATATTCTTACCCTTCCCGTGAGACACTTCAATGGTCCATGTACAGTTCAGGGAGTTTGGGTAAAAATCCGGAAACCCTGGTGAAAGGACGGTTCCACTCTTCCCATGGATGTAGCCTCCACAGAGGGCTTTAAATAATAAGGAATATTTATCGCTGTAGTAAATTTTTGCGATGATTGCTAGAATAAAATACTTTTAAAGTGATATTTACTCTGCACAAGGACTAAAAGTGTGTCAAATATCACCTCTATGAAAAATAAAACAAAACTGCAACTTTACCTGCAATTAGCTATCTCATAGAAAGGTGTCCTAAATAGTACAAAACCCAAAAAATAACACAGAGTCAGGTATGGCCAGGAGAGTGGGGTTTTGTGGGTGACTTACCTGGCCGGGGGATCCCCGGATTTGTGGTCAAAGGTTGTTCTGGGTGTATCCGGCAGGACGCAGGATGAGATTAACATTTCAACAGGTGGCCTGAGCAAAGCCCACTGCCCTCCCTAATGTGGGTGGGCCTTAGCCAATCAGCGGAAGGCTCCAACAGAACAAAAGGGTGATTCTTCCACAAATAAGGGGAAACTCCCTTTGTCTGACTGCCTTTGAACAGATAATCTCATCAGTTTATTTATTTATTTTTTTCCTACCTTTGGACTCTTTCTGAGTCTCAAGCCTGACAGCCTCCAGCCTAGAATTCACACCATCCGCTCTCCTGTGTTTCCAGCTGTCCACTGCAAGTCTTGGGACTGGACAGCCTCCACAACATGTAAACCAATTCCTTATAATAAATCCCTCTCCTCCCTCTCTCTCTCCCTCTCCCTCCCTTTCTCTCTCCTCTTTCTCTCTCTGCGCGCGCGCGTGCGTACACACACCCCCACTGGTTCTTTTTCTCTAGACAACTCTGACTTGCACAATTACGGCTTCAGAAATGGTGCAGGTTTGCATTTTTTTAGAGTTGACGGTTTTAGTGGTTCTTCAGTGGATTTAAATCCTCAACAAGACGACCTGTTCAATGTGTCTTAGAGACTAATTTCTTTAATCTTTTTTTTGATTATTATTTTCGAAAGAGAGATTGAGAGAGAGAGAGAGAGAGAGCAAGTGCACATGCGCTTGTGGGAGGGGCAGAGAGAAGGAGAAAGAGATTCTTAAGCAGGCTCCACACCCGATGCGGGGCTTGACCCCAGGACCCTGGAATCACAACCTGAGCTGAAATCAAGAGTCGTTAGCTCAATCGACTGAGCCAATCAGGCACCCTGAGATTCATTTCTGAATAAAGAAAAAGGTTATATGCAATCATGTGAATGAGAAAGTAGAGACATTGAGGGAATCGATGGAATAGGGAAGTTTCAGTTCTCAATCTGTTACCGTGTGCTCTCCACGCACACATGTAACCAAGCTTCCTTTTTGGAACTCGGTAAGATTATCATTAAATGACTGATACCTGAAGTAATGTTCTCCTATTAGAATGAACATCCTGAACTGTGTCTCATAAAGCTAGTTCCAGAAAGTAACAGCTGCGGAAGAATTAGCGAGTTTGTGAAGGATGCGATCTTCGTATCATGCTCACGCATCATGTGTTTTAAGGGAATAGATAATCTCTTTGAAAATGTAAACCACATGGGAAGAGTTACATAAAAATCAGCAAAACAGAAACTTCTTGAGTGAGTTCTAGCCAATTTTAACGGTGGAGGATTGTCACGTCTTAAAATTAGGTTGACTCCATCTCATTATGAAACAGGTAGTGTTAATATAACATTTGGAATTAATTTGTTCCACAAAGGGCCAGACACTGCCCTCAGCCCTGGAAATGGTGAACAAAATAGACAAAAGTCCTTGCCCTCAGAGAGTCACCACTGCGGTTGAAGGAGAGAGACTATTTCTGCAATAATGTAAAGAGTAGATTATACATGATGTTGGGAGATGGTAAGCACCAGGGGAGAAAATGAAGAGGGAGAGAAGAAGGCCAGGGAATTCTCCGCACTGTGTGGGGTTGGGGGCCACCTGTGCAGGTGGGCAGGGAAGCGTACTTGGGAGGTGGCCCATGAAGAGACCCTGGAGACCAAGGAGGGAGCGGCTGGAGACCTGGGAAGAACTTGTGTGCAGAGACAAGCACTGGGACCAGGCCTGAGTAGGGCTGTGGGTGGGACGTGCCCCAGGGCAGCTGAGAGGGAGGGGGCTGGAGAAGCCAGGATGAACAGTATCTGGAGGGTGGGGGCCTTGCCACTTGTCTGAGTGAGGTGTAGGGCCCTGGAGGCTCCTGTGGGGCAGGACAGGCGCTAACTGGGCCTTTTTCCAGGGCGCTGGGCGAGAACGGCGTGAGGCTGGCAGAGGGTCCAGCGGGTAGGACACGACGGCAGACGTCGAAGAAAGTGGGGAGGACCTCGCCATGGTTTCAAGGCAGAGCCACCGGGCTTTTTTCATGAATGGGATGTGGACGCCATGACAGAAAAACAAAAAAATTAAAAATTAAAAGAGCGTGAAGGAACCGAAGGTGCGGCAGACTCTGGGGTGTAGACCAGCTCAGTCTCAGGTCCCCGAAGCTGGATGCCTACTGCACATCCACGCAGAACATCTGTCGTGGCAGCTGGACTCACAAGTCCCCCCAGGGGATGGGCGCAAGAACAGGAGCCCTGGAGACCACCCTCCCAATGGATGTGGACGAAGAAGCCAAACCCGCTCTCTCCAGGGCTAACCGGCCCAGGGAGGTGAGAGGCTTCAACAAAGGACATGAGAAAGGTAGCCGTGGCCTGGGACAAGACCGGGGACAGAATGCAGCCTCCAGCACAGCAGCTACCTATTAGCAACTTTCTATGTGTCTGTGATTGGATCAGGGTAGATCGGGACGTTAGCTTCTCAAATATTCACCAAGGATGGAAGCATAACGAGTGGAAACCATTTGATGTCAAGCTGAGGTATCACATATGCAGTTATTTGCAGTAATCTTTACCTTGAAACCTGCACATGCCGGAGAAAAGGGATAAAAATAATCTATATCCAGCTACACTTAAGACACTATAAAATTCATCAGTCTCTGTTTCACCCTCTGTCTTCATGCCATCAGGATAAAATGGTGGGTCGTACACTGGGAGAAGAAGCTTGGGAGGAGAGACCTCTGACCACTGATGTTTCCATCAGTTCAACACCGAACTCACAAAGCACGAACCCACACCATCGAGGCGCCGTTTAGGAGCAAGGTAAGAAAGAAAGATACCGATGAAGTAAATCAGTACATCTGCGGCTCGTTTTGATTCATGTATGTGCAAATGCAACACAGTCTTCGTGCATTATGAAGAGTTTTCAATAGAAATAATTTCATCCACAAAGCGTCCTTTTTTGTTTTTCCTTCTTTTTTTAGAGAAAGGAGATTTGAGGTACACAATTGTACTGGTATTCCCGCCTGACACCGAAGAGGGAAGAGAGTGAAATAAGGGAACTGCTTTCGTTTTTACTGTCCACATGGGCCTCTGGCCACATCCTCCCAGACAAGTCTCCATTCCCTTAGAAGCACCACAGGGAGCAGGGCATGTAGTCTGAATGACAATAATCTGTTTCTTCCTGCAGTGCACAGTCTTTTCCGGTAGTTATAAAAAGCACAGTAAACCTTTACTTTTGCTATCCTTAGGGCCATAATTTCTTGAATTTCACTTTTCTATTTACGTCACCGTCAGAGACCCAGAGACATTACACAGGCAACCTCTCGGGAAAACGGAGACGTACAGAAAGGAGGAAAGACAAGGGAGATGAACGTATACGCAGTCTTTCGCAAACATGTCTCGAGTTCTGCCTCTGGCTCTACTTTAATCCCTTCATCCACCCACACCTCCATCCGAAATGACTTACTGAGGAATTTACTGGTATTTTCCAGGCCCACGCAAGCTCTTGGGCGCACAGCAACGAGTAACACAGACAAAACACTCTTCTTCCAAAGTTCGCATTCCAGTGGGCCAGGAAAATAACTTGTGGAGGTGACTAATCAGGACTAAGAACAAGGGTCTGAACACGTTCTCGGAACTCACAGGCGGTCTAGGGAATTAGAGCACGGTGGGGTGGGCTGGGGGGGGCCACCGAGTCCATCCGCGCAGGTGTCCGGGCCAACGGGATGTGGACCGTTGAGTGGGCGATACAAGGATGGAAGGGGCACGGGCGGTCTGAGCGGACCCCGTGTTCACAGACTGCCCTGTGACAGGCTGCCAGCTGCCAGTGTCCTGGAGAGTCTTGGGGGTCTAGGGGTGTCCTTGGCAAAGCCCCCAGACGACCCGCGGACCCTGCGGGTGTCCACTTCCTGTCGCCGGACCCTGCCCAGAGGCCTGTGATGTGTCCCAGTGTGTGGACACGAGCTCGTAGAGCCCAAACCCCGGCTTCAGTGTTCACTTCTCCGTGTCTCCTCTGCCTGGACCAGAGGCAGGCCAGAGGAATCGGAGAGGACGGCCTCTCCTCGCTCCCCTGAAAATACCCTTTGTTTCCACAGCACCGACTCTGAGGACCAACCTGCTGGCTCCCAAAATCGTGTCTGAAACACTGGCTTCCTTCTCAGGCCACGGCTGAGTTTCCCACTGCCGGCGAAGGCCCTTGGAATGTAACCTCCGGGGCCCTGTCTTCACAGCCACTTTCTGTTTCTCACCTCTCACGCTTGGTGAAACTGGAGCGTTTCAGGCCTTCTTTGTGTGATTTATGTCCCAGCTCCTGCCTTCCTGTCTCTTCCTCAGAGAGATTAATGTGTGAAAGCACACAGTATTCCCTCTGCTTTGTCCCTCTTTTCTTATTTTCCGTTTTCCTTGTTCGCTTTAAACTACTAATAAAGTTCTATCTGAAGCAAAAATTTAATGGGGTGACATTCTATTTCTGATTATCCGTGGCCTCTCCATGTCCTACAGAGTTATTAAGTTTACTCATTCGTTCACTCATTTGTTCCACCATTCATTCACGTATTTATACTGAATCTTTTATCTAAAATAAATAAATCTTATGTGGAAACCCTACCAATAAAAGGGGGAACAATTTAGAGCTGTTCAGTTAAAGCAGGGGGTGTATTTCAAGCCCTGCCGTCATCCTCAGTTTTTTCTCAAAGAAGGCTGGAGTCCCACTCTGGGACCATGGCGCCCCGTGGTTTCAAGTCTTGCCAAGGAAACAGGGT